ATGTCCCCTCCAAAGCTCCAGACAGGCGAAAGCGTCTGAAGTTGACGTAGGGCAGCAGTGTTGTGTGTCACAGTGCATTTCATATAGATCTGCAGATGTTTGCAATTTGGGGTGAGGCTTTTGGGAGTGACCGGCTGCCTCCACTCTCCAGGTCAGATCGACAACCGGAGTAAACTACGGAACATAGTTGAGCTGCGTTTGGCTGGCCTGGATATTACGGATGCTTCTTTGCGGCTGATCATAAGGCACATGCCTCTGCTCTCCAAACTCAATCTCAGTTACTGTAATCATGTGACAGATCAGTCTATTAACCTGCTGACCGCGGTTGGAACCACCACGCGGGATTCATTAACAGAAATTAATTTATCAGGTAAGCGATGTGGGGGCAGGGGCGGGGGGAGGGTGGGAATTGCCCGTTGGCGTTAGGCTGGTGTGGAGCGCTGGCTGGTGGAGGTGGGTTTGCCCAGCTCTTCCCCCCCCCCGGGGTGCAACCCCCCCTGCCCAGGGCTCCATTTGGGCAGTGGGGAGTGCTGCTGGGGTAGGTAACCCCCGGGCCCTGTGCCCGCTGATGGGAATGCTGCTCCCACTCAGGAGCCGCGCGTGGCACCTGGCTCAGCCTTCACAGGGGATTTTCCAGGGCTGGGATTTTCCAGGGCTGCCGCTGGGTGCATCCGGCCCGCTCTGCGTTACCTCATTGGTTACACGGCAGAGCCCCAGGGATGGGAGCGCTGCGATGAGGCCGGCTGGGCACAGCGCGGGGGGAGCAAGGACCTGCCGCGGCTGGGAGAAACCCTCCTGGGGCTGGCGAATGACCGAGGCGCGCTGTTAAACTTCTCCCCCTCTGTGTTTTTGTTTTTGCTGTCCCCCGGCAGACTGCAATAAGGTGACTGACCAGTGCCTGTCTTACTTCAAACGCTGCGGCAACATCTGCCAGATCGACCTGAGGTACTGCAAGCAAGTGACAAAAGAAGGCTGCGAGCAGTTCATAGCGGAGATGTCAGTAAGTGTCCAGTTTGGGCAAGTGGAAGAAAAACTTCTGCAAAAACTGAGTTAGTTAAAGGACATGTGTAAATACTGGGGCGGGGGGGAAGGGACTAAGAACATGTAGGGATTTTATTTTCAATTGGGAACTTGGAATATTGGAAAAATACCGCGGTTGGATTTTACAACTCTTGTTGAGGAGAGAACAACATGAAACTACCCACGTTGAGAATTTCAACTTGTGCCACTAATTCAGTCTACCTGGGATGTCCTGCACTGGCTCTTATGCAAATTCATAAGGCGACTGTTACTGATGAGAATTGTTCACACCCGGAAGACGACTGATCTCCAAGAAATACTGTTATTTAAAGTACCACAGCATGTGCTTGGTAGTGTAAATTTGATTTCTGCTTTTCATTTCTTAAAACAACAACAACAACAAAGTCGGTGTCATTAAAGTGGACCACGCACTGCATTTCTGCCTTCTTAACACGTTTTGTTTTGTTACATCTTACATTATGCAGAACTATTTTTGTACAAAAATTGTTTAAAAATTATTTATGCAATGTTTGAATGCATTACCAGTGTTTCGGTTTTGATTGCCAATTTTTATCTTTACTTATGGTAGGCGAGAACTTAACCTATACTTCGTAGACAGTATCTATCTGCAAACGTGCCCAGGTCAGGAAAAGTAGGTTAATACTTTCACCTTCAAGCATGTTTTAATGGAAGTTTATATCCTGCTTTGTATACTTCAGAAGTGACATAAGCATGTTGTGGAAATAAGGTGTAAATTATAGTTGAAGTTAAAACACTTTGCCAAGTTTTATCTGTATAGAAATCACCTTTTTCTCAAAATTTTAAAAAATTCCAATTTCAGCTTTTGCACATAGGAGGGTTTCACTCTGTAGCATGAGCTCTTGTACTCAATATAAAATTAATTTATACAGTGAGTCCAGCAGTAGAATAAATGGTCAAACGTAGTCTCTCTTTCTTTGAAGTGTGAGTTGAGTTCTCATTTAAGGTTTATAACATGGTTATTTCCTGATTGTAAAATTCTGCATTCATAAGTGCCATTGTTGTACGGTGTTGTTTTCGTAGACCTTCCTGATGCAGTTTTACCTTTGTTGAATTTGTATAAACAATTGTACAAAAACAGGTGTTGGCTCTGCAGGTTTCTGTTGCAAGGCGGGGTTGTTCCGGGGGGAAGCTGTGCTCAGGCTTTGGGTGTGTGGAGCCTGGGGGTCACCTCTGGCTTGGAAGGCAGAGCAGGTGAGTGCCAGGGTTAACAGCAGCAGCCCCTCTGGTACTTGCCTTTAGGTTGGTGCGCTCTCTTTTTACTGAGGTGGGGATAAAATACACACACGTACCCTCCTCAGGCTGGAACCTGCCCCGGTGAGTGGAGGACGCTTCCACAGCTCAAGCAGAATGTTAAAGCTTGAGCTGAGAAACCAACAGCACTCCCCGAGCTGCTTAAGAAAAGAGACGGAGGCTGAGAAAGCCCATTGCAAATCTTTATTAAGCTTGTGTGGCTAATGATCAGCACGGACCTAACAGAGAGGGTCTGGGTTTTCTTCATTAGCTTACCCGCTGGACAGCGACTCCAGGAATTAAGTACCATTAAAAAGTTACTTCTAAAAAATAAAGCCATTGAAAGGTTTGCTCCCTTCTGAAAAATAACCAGCAGTGGCTCTAGGCTGTGTATTTTATTTTGAGGAGGAGCTACTTTCTCTTTTCCAAGCCAGGTGAGTTTTTCATGTAGAAGACAAGAGCAGGCGTGACAGCGTGGCAGGGGTAAGAGTTTGGGGGTACTGCAGCCTAGGCAAAGCCTGCCCCTGTCTCTGCTACAGTGCCAGCACGGGGGTAAGTAACAGGAGAAACTGTAGCTTAAAGGGTGATCGCCCAGGACAGACTGGCTCACTCATCACCCCTTGGTTTCACAGTGGACTCAAACTCTGTCGTGACAGTGCTTGGCCATGGGCAGCCTCACCCCTGCACGGGAGGGGCTCTTGCCCCTCTCCCCCAGGCTGTCTGCCACAGGGCCCGTTACTCTTCTTGCTCCGAGAGGGCCCTGACCCCTGCTGTGGGCACCAGGCCCGGCTGGAGCCTGGGCTGAGGGCAGCGCAGGTCCCTCAGCAGCCCCCAGGAAGTGTGGTTAATAGCGACTCGGCCTGGGTTAAAAGTCTGTTAAGGTGAGGTTTTAACAAATACCATCCTCCCTTTCCCTTAATAAACTCCTCCCATTTAAGGTTAGTAACACCATACATTCCACATGTTAGCAGCAAGGAGTTTCATGACCCTGATCAGTATTCACAGTAATGTCAGGTTGTCGGCACATGGCGTACAATCATCACGTGTAAGAGTAACAGTTACAATAGGCATGAGTGGATTAAGGACCACAGTAATATGGTTTACTATACCCCTTTTTAAAAAAATACTTTTATTCCTAAACTAAAAAACACATAATAATTGGTATTCGGACACCACACGGCAGAGCCCTGCAAAGTGACGGAGCTTTTTGTACATTTACAAAGAATGGCCAAGACCGTAGAGGTGTAATGGCAGACATTCTGCGCAGGAGAGATTGCTTAAGGGCCTCTGTGCAGGTACAGTTAATGGCAGTGCTTTCTACAGTCGTATTTTATACTGTTAACACTGTTGCAGGGACAGTGTCAGAACAGTTACATTCTATAATTACGTAAAAGCTGAATATTCAACTGATACATTCATTGCTTCTAATGCACTAGACAACGTACACGCTAGTATGGTCGAGCAAAGGTACCGCTTGCCCAGTACTGAATGCGCTAATTAGAGGTGATATTCTTCAGAAGAGAGCAAGAACTGCTGTAAACAGTTTGACTCAAACAGTTTGTGGGTTTGTAAGGTAAGTCAGGCAGCGCTATCACTGTACACACGGGCATCGTGTGGTACCACCCAACCCTAGGGTTCAGTATGCTGTAGAAAAATGTTTCAGAAACTTCTAGATCCTGCTGTTCAAAACAGTGCGTTTATCGAGAACTAAAAAGCTGACATACGCCCCAAGGCTCGGCACTCCTGCCCCCAGCATTGCTGAAAGGGCAACTACAAAATCTGGTTTTGGTCTGGGGTTTAAGATTTGAACACGTGCACGGCCCGTACAACGTACTGTCGGCAGATGGGGCACTCGCTCATCCTCTTGCCGCACTTGGTGCAAGTGACCATGTGGCCGCACTCCAGCAGGACGCAGTCGATCACCGCATCCATGCAGATCCGACACAGGTTGTCATCGTTGTCGTTCAGCTGCATCTTCTCACCCTCTGAAACAAAATGGAGAGGGAGGTCACGCATGCAGGCCCTGGAAAACCAGTTAAGTGCTAGCTCAGGCACCCGCTAAAATACGCAGACAGCCAATTTAGCATGAAGTAGTGCTGCTCCCTGTTCACAGCAGGTTTTCTAGCCCACGGCTGAGAATTAATCCATGATATGTTCCCTCCAAAACAAAAAAAAACAACCCAAGAACTAGAAAATCCCTACATGAACAGCCAATATTTGTCTTCATTCTTTAAACTCGGAGACCATTTTCAATTCAGAACATAATGACTGTGAAATCAAGTGCTGGATTAAAATTCAGAGCATGTTGGTTTTCCATCTCTAAGCTTGCTTCATTCAGCAGAACACTTTCCTCAGAAGATTAAACACAATAATAATAAAGCAGACTAAGACGTGGAAGCCTTAAGTAGGCGGTAAAGATGGCAGAACTGAACAAAACCTGTCAAGTTTCATTGCAAATAGACAACATCCCCTATCGACAACCCAATGTTCCATCAGACCACATTGAAAAAAAAAAAAAAAATTGTAAGTTTAAAGCTTGATTTCAGACAGGTTTTCAATCCTAGTTTAGGACCAAAACGAGGGTCTCACTTAAGCCATGTTCTGACATTCACTAACAGCCCCCCACCTTCACAACCCTTCTTCCCCCCAGTTAGCTGATTACTTCACACCTGAAGTGTACGTGCAGGCACAAGCTGGCTGTGAAGTGGGAGAGGGCTAATAAGCTAATAATAAGTTTTCCGGTCACCACAGTCCCCTGTTCTTTACAGCCTGACTGCTGGATGTAGGAATGAAGAGCCAGGCAAGCATTGCCCAAGTTGGTGATGTCATCAAAAAGTTGCTCCTCGGATCGTGCTTTGTGAACAGGAATGGGTCTGTGGGCGCGACAGTCACACGAGTGAAAGACTCCAACTGTTGAGTGTACCGGGGTAGCAGCAGGCAGTCGCTGAGCTGCGGCCACAGAACCACCTTACCGCAAAAACATGGACTGAGACCAAGCCACTTGAACTTGGACTTCTGCCACTGTAGCTTTTAATTCTCTTACCACAGTAAAAGACCTGAATTGCTTTGGTCTGCTGATGGCTACAGAGAAGCTCCCTCGCTAATACCTTGTGAAACCCAATAAAGGACGTGGAGGTGCCGAGTTTCACGTTCACTGAGGAACTGGCTCTCAGTTGTGCAATTTCACCTTCACCATGAAAGCCGAGCTCGCTGAGCTTTGGGAAAAAAAGTCTCAAAAACCCAGCACAATCCTGGAAAGCTTCATTTACTCACTACAACCATGTTCAGCTACTCTAGATGCACCCTCAGTTGTTAAAACGCACTTGCCAGTTGTTCCAGCTGAGCAGACCCAGTTAGATACCAAGTCCTTCTGTTGGCAGAACCAGCTACTGGAAACCAGAAAGTAAGTAGTCTTAAAAAAGTGAGAATTAAATATAAACCTACGTGTCTTGTGGTTTTCCTCACTCTCTCTGTATAGTCTGCTCACTTTTTCCACAAGTTCCCATTTTTCACAGCATCCTGAGTAGTTGACAAAATTACACGCAAGTATTTCCTTCAGCTGTCGAACACTCAACCCTTCAATGTCTTCCAGACTTGAAATATCAGACAAAGATGCCCTCGCTCGCTTTCTGGACAATCCAGGGGTCTGAAACACATCAATTGTATATTTGTAACTGTCCTGGTAAGTTCAGAGCACCAGGTCTGGTGTTACATTAAGCTGCAGCAGCTTGGCTAAAGTTTTGTTCTTTTTAAAACAAGTATTTGCAGATAGGCATTGCTAGACCCAGCAAACTCGGAAAGAACCAGAGCATGACAGTAACAGCTGACAGAGATCTGAACACCTCACGGTGTCATGTGCCCAAAATTCGTTCTTGGGATATTTCATCTCTCACCTGCTCTTCTGCACTTTCTTCTTCTTCATTATTTATAGAAGAGGTTTCCGTTTGTCCCTGTGTACAAAATGAAACTAATCAGGATAAAACCACATTATCCCTTATAAAATATTTTCCATTGTACCAAACGGATCACAAATGACAATGACATATTGAAGTCTCAATTGCTACCAATCATAATCGAATTAAGTCACCTCTATCATCTAAACCAGTAATCTTAACTAGTAATCTTCTGTTTTCAGGTGAGAGATACAAAAAAGCATTTTTGCTGCCACCCTGAACTGCACCAACTGGCATTTTATTTTAAATAGTAAGAGTGATGCATACCTATTTAGGAAAAAACCCAAAGAGCTATGCTATTCCATAACACACGTTAATTATCATACCCGTAAAGGTGTTCCATTTCCTGTGCTTCCCCTTCTGTTTGCAAGTTCTCCTTGAGATGACACCGATACAGACATAGAAAATGGATGAGTAAAAAACCCCGAAGTCTGTGACCGTGATGAATGCAAGCTACCAGCGTCCATATCCTCCTCCGAACCTAACCCGTGATGGCACAGCACAAGATCCACCAAGTCTTCTTTCTCTCTGCAGGTATCTGTTGGTATGTTTCTGAGAATCAGATACTGACGCAGCTCCTTTACTTTCAGTCTCATTAACTGAGGTCGCTGAAAGGCTGTTTCTTGCAGCAAGTGGCAAGTGGAACATCTTCTGAGATTCTCTTGCAAGACTGAACAAACTGAGCAAAAATCCTTCTTGCAGTCACAACACACGTGCTAAGCAGAAAAAGGAAATAACCGTTCAGCTGTGTGTCATAGGGAACAGATCTAGACCCTGCTTCTCCCTTCTTCAGGCTACGTAATAATTTACTATTAGTGTCCTAATCATCAGTTTTGACAGACATAGTTTTTAGGATTTAAGTCTAGAAAACTGGCCTGTCAAGTAGATTTGCAGGTGTTTCAAGGCAGTCCATTGCTTTTGTAGCACTACTGTCAGCTGATTTGAGGTTTCGATGAATAAAGCATTATGAATAAACAAATGAATAAAGTACTCAATTTGTAGCTTACACAATAAATGAACTTGAAAGCCAGTCAATTTTATGGCATGTTAAAATATTTTTGAATACACTAAGTGTCAGGTCTCTTTTCACATGTGTAAAACCAGCACGGTTCCCAAACTTTAAAGAACGTACTTCTTCCTCCATTGAATCAAAGAATTCAAAGCAGGCCTTAAATGCGACGAATGACATGGTAGGTAAATACTCCCCAGAAGGGCAGGTATCATTTCAGGAGAGAGCTTTGTTCAAAGGGCTCACTACAATATACAAAAGCTAGAATAGGCAAGACTTGCAGCAGCGATTTTAAATGGTCATCTCATCCGCTGCGAGCAAATCCAAACTATTCAAGTTTTTCAGGATTTTAGTAAATTAGTATTAGCTTCAGAAAATGTCCCTACACAACGCTTAATCGACCAAAGTGTTTGCCATGCAAACGACAGGACACATAGGAAGGGGGAAACTGAACTGAAACTGAAGAGGCTTCATGTTTATCTAAAAGAGCTGCAGAGAATTAGGTCACAGTGTACAAAATAACAGTACATGGACAGTCATGATGCAAGAAGCATTATTAACAATCTCAGTTTTATTTATCTGCGTTAACCCACCAACCTGCCTCCAAATGAAGGAAGAGGCTGCTGGAGGGCAATAGTATTTAACAACTAAACCTGGTTAGAAAACAAACAGAACTATGGGGGTATTTCACAGAAAGAAACTGTGATACTAAATGGTGCGGGTTTAGCTTTTCCATCACCCAGTTTGTTCATTCCAGTACCCAACCACTATGTTTGGCATCATCTTCAAAACCAGATGTGTTTTAATGTTTAGGATTCTGAAACTAAAACACTATCTTACAAATTAGAATCCACTAATTTTTAGGTCAGACCAGATCCAGTGTGTCACCGATTAATGAACATCAGACCTCTTAACTTCTAATCCTGTCTGACATTAATTTCCTGTGACCTCAGAATAAGACACTTACTCCCTTCCTGGCTCTCTGCCTCAGGTTTCCTTATCTAAGGAAAAACACACATTCACCTCCCAGTATGCCTACAGATTAGTTCTCAAGAGTAGAAATGTAACAGGAAACATACTCACTTTTTTCCTAAAAACTGAAAAGGAAAGTCCACAGGCTTTGCAAACTATGTTAGCGCCCGCCGCAGCTGGAGGTGGATATGCTGAGAAGTCTGTATTCGGTGTGAATCTGAAGGGGCCAGCACCTCCCCCCCAGCCAGCCTGCTGGCCACGCACAGCTCCAGTACCCATGACTTCATTCAGCAATCCACAGCAGGAAGCCCACATGGAAGTAGCTCCCGCCTGAAAACGTTCACAATGAGAGAGAAAAAAAAAAAAAAAAAGAAAAAAAAAAAAGAAAATTAATATCTGAAAGCCCACATCAGATGTGACTTGCTACCAAAGAGCTACTTCACTCCATCTGTCATCATCCCAAAAGCATGTGGTGTGAATTCCCAGAGCACCAGGAATTCAGCACACTAACGTCTATAACAGCCCAATAATCTTCACCTCCCAGCTGCAAACCAAAGTAGGTAAGATCTGCTTCCGAGAGCCTCACGCGGGCAGAAGGAGCTCACTTTCATAACTCCTTTTCTAGCAGAGCTCTGCACAAAAAGGGCAAGGAATTTGAGGAGGTAACGCAATAGCAGAGGAAAGAAGGAAGAGACTAACAGCCAGTCGTAGGTGAGAGGCAAAACCTGAAATGAAGACAGGCAGCAACAGAACAATTTATCATAATTCGTGCAGAGCTGTCCCCTGCAGGATCTGCTCCAGAACTAATCCAGTTCTTACATGACTCACAATAAAACTCTCTCTAAAAAAACTTTCTGGGTCTTCAAACTTCAAAGTAACAAACCAATCTCCATTAGAAACTAGTTATGATCTAGTTTGAGAGGGAAATGTTTTTCAAGACCTCTCTGAACCTTGTTGTCTTACAAAACGTCTAACAAAAATTAAAGTAACTCTAAATGAACTTACTCTATATTGATTGGATTTTGGTTTTGAGTCATACAATTTAATCTTAAAACACTACAAAAAATTCTAAATACATAAATAAATTGTTACTTTTTTCCTTGAAAACCTTTAGCACTAGATTCTCTATGAAAAATGCATAGTCTACTTAAAGTTGGAATTTGGACTCCACGTCGTTCAGGTCACATGTTTAATCACTGTCATGTGGCAAAAAAAGGCAAACAGAATTACATCAGGTTCTTTGTGAAAGGAAGCAGAGCTGCACAACTTCCTTTACACAATTTTTTTTTCATACTCTTTTTTTCTTAACTGTG